TCAGCACATGGGACATACTCCATGATTGAACACATTCTTGGGTATAAATTAATCATTTAAAAATTCCAGAATTTTGAAATAATGCCAAGTATCTTCTCAAATCACAGTGAAATACAAATAAATGCCAGCATTAACAAGAACCCCACAAAACACACAAAGATGTGGAAACTAAACAACATGCTAATGAATGACTTTTGGGTCAACATAGAAATCAAGACAGAAGAAGATTCCTGGAAACAAATGAAAACAAAGATACAGCATTGCAAACCCTCTAGGATACTATGAACACAGTGGTACATTGGAAATTTATAGCACTGCACACTCAGATTAAGAAAAAAGAGGAATCACAAGTAAACAGTGTAACATCACACCTGAGAGAGCTGAAAAAGCAAGGACATTTAATTCTAATTTCAAAAGAAAAGTCCAGATTACTAAAATAAAGTCACAATTACCATAAAATAGAAGACAAAAATATCATAGAAAGGATCAACAAGACAAAGAGCTGGTTCTTTGAAAGGATAAATAAGATAGATCCCTGACCAGATTGACCTGAGAGAGACAGAGAGAGAGAGAGAGAGAGAGAGAGAGAGAGAGAGAGAGAGAGAGAGAGAAAGGGAGAGAAAAGTTATAAAGGACATTACAATCCCTAGGTTATCAGACATTACTGTAAATATTTGAATGCAAAAACAAACAAACTAGAAAACCTAGGTGAATTAGAGGATTTCCTGGCATCATACAATCACCCAAGGCTAAAACAAGAAGAAATTGAAACCCTAAACAAATCAATATCTATACAGAAAATTGTCTCAGTTATAAATGACTCCCTGCCAAAAAAAGTCCTGAATCAAATGGTTTCTCAGCTGAATTCTACAGGATGTTTGGAAGAGCTGACACCAATCTTATGAAAGTATTCCAGGCAATTGAGAAAAAAAAATTCTCCCTAGCTAATTTCACGAAGTTAATATCATCTTGATACTCAAAACTGGCAAAGACCCAACAAGGAAAAAAGAATTACAGGCCAATTTCCCTGGTGAACATAGATGCAAAAACTCTCAACAAGATTCTATCAAATCATATTCAATAATACACCTCAAAGATTATCTACCATGACAAGGCAGGCTTAATTCCTGGGATACAGGACTGATTCAACATTCACAAAACCATAAATGCAATTCAGTACATTAACAAGGGTGCCAGGCATGGTGACTCATGCCTGTAATCCCTGAACTTTAGGAGGCTTAGATGAGAGGATTGCTTGAGCCCAGAGTTTGAGAACAACCTGGGCAACATTTATGAGACCTTGTCTCTACAATAAATAAAAACATTAGCCAGACATGGGGGCATGTGCCTGTAGTTCTAGCTACTTGAGCTCTGGAGGTCAAGGTTGCATTGGCCGGGAGCATGCCACTGCACTCCAATCTGGGTGACAGAGTAGACTGTGACTAAAAAAAAAAAGTGTAAAAACAACCATATGTTATCCCATCAGAGGTAGAAAAAACATTCAATAAAATGCAACATCCCTTCTTGATTAGAAATTCTTGAACATCTAGGCATGAAGGAACATTCCTCAAAACAAATAACCATATACGACAAACCTGCAAATAACATTTTGCTTAATGGGTAGAAGTTGGAAAAATACCCCTAAGATGTAGAATTAGACAAGATGCCCTCTTTCTCCCTTTCTATTCAGCACACTGCTGGAAGTTCTAGCCAGAGAAATGAGGCAGCAGAAGGAAATCAGAAGTATCCACATAGAAAATTAGGAAGGTAAGTTATCTCTCTTTGCTGACAGTATGATTCTATACCTAGGAAATCCTAGAGAGTGTCTCAAACTCTCACACTGATAAATAACTTTGGTACAGTTTCAGGATACAAAATCAATGTACAAAAGACAGTTGCATTTTTGTACAACAAATAGGCTGAGAACCAAATTAAAAAAAAAAAGCAGCACACAATACCATTTACAATAGCCATCCACACACACAAAATGAAATTGTTGTCCACCTAAGCAGAAACATCAAAACCTTTGCAATGAGAACGATAAAACACTGCTTAATGATATCAAGGATAATACAAATAGACGAACATCCCAAGCTCGTGGATTGGAAGAATCAATACAGTCAAGGTGTCCATCCTACCCAAGAAAATCTACAGATTCATTGCACAATCCCTATCAAATTGCCAACAACATTTTTTTCTCAGAATTTCAGAAAAGACAATACAGAATTTTATGTGAAAGCAACAAAGTGCAAATAGCCAAACATCCTCAGCAAAACGAGCAAAGCTGGAGGTATCATATTTTCAGACTGTAAGCTATATTACAAGACTACAGTAACCAAAATGGCATGGTATTGGTACAGGAGTAGACCAATGGAGCAAGTCAGATAACCTAGAAATAAAAACCCAGTCCCTCAACCAGCTTATCTCTGACAAGTCATCAATAACAGACATTGGGGAAAGAAAACCATATTTAGAAAATGGTGCTAGGAAAACTGACTAGCCACATGCAGAAGAGTGCAACTGGACCCCTACCTATCACCATATATAGAACCAAAGACTTAAGTGTAAAACCTCGAACTTTAAGAATCTTAGAAGAAAACACATGGAATGCTTTTCTGGACATTGGAGTAGGCAATGATTTTATGACCAAGTCCTCAAAAGCAATTGCAACAAAAGCTAAGATAGTTAAGTGGAACCTTGCCAAACTGATTTTTTTTTTTTTAACAGCAAAAGAAACCATCAAAAGAGTAAAGATACAACCTATGAAATGGGGGGAAAAATTGTGTTATGCTTTGAAGTCATGGTGTCCAGTATCTATAAGAAATGCCAATGAATTGAAAGGAAAAAAAACAAACTCCTTTAAAAGTGGGCAGGGAGCCAGGCTCGGTGGCTCAGCCTGTAATCCTGTGCCTTTGGGAGGCTGAGGTCAGTGGATTGCCTGAGACCGCAGGTTCGAAATCTGCCTGGGCAGTGAGACCTCATCTCTACAATAAATAAAAAAATCAGCCGGGTATGGTAGCACATGCCTGTAATTCCGGCTACTTGGAAGGGTGAGGCGGAAGGATCGCCAGAGCCCAGCAGGTCGAGGCTGCGGTGGCCGGGAGCAGCCACTGCACTCCAGTCTGGGCGACAGAGTGAGACTCCAACTCAAAAAAAAAAAAAAAATTTGGGCAGGGGGTGTGAACAGACATTTCTCAAAGGAGGACATACAAGCAGTCAGTAAACACATGAAAAAATGTTCAGCCTCACTAATCATCAGAGGAATACAAATTAAAACTACAATGTGATAGTATCTAACTCCAGTAAGGATGGCTATCATTAATAAGTTAAAAAACAGGTTCGGGCATGACTATGAAGAGAGGGGATGGTTTTACACAGTTGGTGAGAATATAAACTTGTACAAGAACTAAAAATATCTTCCATATGATCCAGTAATCCCGTTCCAGGAAATTTACTCAGAGGAACATAAATTGATCCACAAAAAAGATACACATGTTTACTGCATATACTATTCACAATAGCAAATACATGGAACCAACCCAAATGAACATCAAAAGTAGACTGGATAAAGATAATGTGGTACATATCCACAATGGAATTTTATGCAGTCATAAATAGGAACAAAATCATGGCCTTCATGACAACTTGGATGAAACTAGAGACCATCATATTAAATGAACTATCCAGAAACAAAGAACTGAATACCACATATTCTTGCTCATAAGCAAACCCTGAACACTAGTCATATGAGCACAGGGTTGAGACTGGTAGAAAATGGACATTGCCAAGGGAGGGAAGGAAGGTGATAGGAGGCGGGCATGTGGCAACACACTGAGTACCTGATCCATTGTCAGGCAGAGAGGGGGCCGAGCTAGAAGCCCAAACTTCACCTCCATGACCTACTTCTGTAGTAAATCCTCACTTACACCCTGCAACTCTAAAATAAACAAAAAATTCTTGCATCTTATAACAAAGAAAGTTGATGTAAAATACAATGAAATAAAATATGTTTAACGTTACAGTAAAATAAAACTCCACTTCCCTAAAAAAAAATAATAATAATAATAATAATAATAAAAATGAAAATTCTATTCCATACCTTTGTTTCTCTTTAGTATTCAAAATAAAAGTGCATAGAAAGGAGCTAAGGTATTAGTATACAAAAATGGGAAACAGAGTCAAAAGTGTAATTAAACTTTTACTTATATGATTCCAAAGCATTGGTAACTCTAGAGCATTCAGTACTTATTCAGATTTAGATCTATCCTGTTTTCTTTTCCACATAATATATTGACTATCTTATGTGTTTTTATATTCTTTCTGATACCTCTAACAGTAATTAATATATTAGATATGCTAAATAAATTCATTTAAGGTTACAATATGTGTTAAAATTATTTAATTACATTATACCATCATACATGCACTTATTCACTCACTCATAAACATTTGTGTTCAGATGTTCATTTTTTGTCAATGTGAAAGAAAAGGCCAGTGAGTAAATGTTAAATTTTCTACTCATTAGTTTTTTAAACCTACGGGACATATTTTCCTGACACCCAAAGTGAAACAGGATCCATTAAGAAAAAACGTGAGTTTGAAAGAATCAAGAAGAAAAATAGTCTACCAGGGACAGAGGAAGGGGAAAATGACATATGAAGCTATATTTGACTTACAAACAGCTTTTATAAACTGAAAGGGAATGAAAATGGTGATCCTTAGAAGTACCTTTATTCTCTGCGTAGCTAAATGATAACAGATAATTTTAAATTGAAAAAAAATATCTATTCTGTCTCTCTTTGAAGCCTAACATTTTACTCATTTTTATTTGTCACTGTGATTGTTCTTACTATATTCTGCATCCCTCTCTGATATGGAGGTAATATCATAGAAGTTAAGCTTCTAATTTTAAGTACTGATGCCATAATAATTTATAAAATCATAATTAAATTTCCTTCCTTTAAAAAACATTATTAACAGTGATTATATATTATTTACAGATATTGGCTGATTTAGAAAATCATGCATTATTTAAGAATGACCTGGAATGTCAAAAGCTGATTCTGGAAGCAATGAAATATCATCTATTGCCAGAAAGAAGAACTTTAATGCAAAGTCCAAGAACTAAACCCAGAAAATCTACAGTTGGAACGCTGTACGCTGTAGGTGGAATGGATAACAACAAAGGTATATAATTCTAGATCCATGTAAAAAGACACCTTGTACTATACCATGACACAATTTTAATATTATAACCTGTATGATACCACCAACATTTACGTAAATTTAACTTTATTATGATTTAAGGTTAAGGAAAATATTACAAGACAATCTTTTATTTTTAGTCTATAATTGCTCTTTCTGCTTCCTATTCACCTTGAAACTTTTTATCCATTTCTTATGTATTATGTATAAGACTTTATATAAAAAATGAAAAGGAGATTTGAACCACTGAATATAAGACAAATAATTTGTTGAATGTATTGAGAACTCTATCCCAATGGTAAGAAATGTGATGTGCCAGGTACCTGTTTGCAGATAATATAATTATAAAGAGAACTTCTATTTTTAAGGAGTTGAGAATTCCACTAAGAACCAAATAAATAAACAAATTATAAATGAGTGAAAAAATGATGGAAGTTGTAACTTACAACATTTAGCCAATTTAGCCTTTAAAAGAAAGTGAATAGTTTGTTTTAAAACTGAACACATGCATTTAAAGATTTTATTTTTACTTTTCTATAGTTCTTGGAGAAAAAATTCTTCAGATTTTCTTATGTGTATTTTAATTTTTTAGAAAAGGATGCAAGATAAATAATATGCAAAAATGTAAATTTCATTTATTTGTGTCTAATAAGTGATATAATTAACCACAATATATTTCAAGTACATGTAAAGACCTGCAACTGGCAACTGTAGTGTGTGACCAAATATATATTCAACTGCTTTTAAAGAATTTGTTATTCAAAAATATCAGAACAAAACAACAAAACATTTCAACCACTGTGAACTGAGATTTTAAAATAACAGCTGAAGGAAAACAACCTACATAATCAATAAAGAATGACCCATATTCACATTTGTTATATGTCAAAAAGATATGCTCTAATTGTTAGATGGTGTTCATAGTTTAATTTTTTGAAAAGTGTAACTCCTTTTCACTAATATGTTGATTTCTAGTAATTATCACATTAAATAAACACTATAGTATTAACATGGAAATGATAAAAAGAATAAGGAAATTAGAATTCTTTTATAAGTACATGGCAAATCAGAGTAGTCAAAGGACAAAATGTTTTTCACCACATAAGATGGACATAGGGATCTGTAAAAAAAAAAATATTGGTACTGGTAGAAGGTACTAAACCTTTGAGTACATTAGTATTGAAAGAGGAAAGACCTTAGACTTCTTTATTGAAAAATGGAAACTCATCTATCTGGGTTTGTTTCTTTCCCAAAAGACAGAATCTGGATGATTATTTTGATGCATATATATTGCATATATATATTACACACACACACACACACACACACACACACACACACACACACACACACACGAGGGGGGGACCCAAAAAACCCAGAAATTTTTATTTAAAAATGTGAATTTATTCTTACATGTTTAAACTTCAGTCAGCTTCAAAGTACTCTCCATGTGATGCAATACACCTATCAAGATGCTTTTTCCACTGCTCAAAACAGTTTTTGAAATCATCAATTTTGATGCTTTTTAGTGCTTTGTCGTTTCTTTTTTTCACCTCTTTCACATCAGCAAAATGTTTCCCTTTGAGGACATTTTTCATCTTGTGAAACAACAAAAGTTACTTGGGGCAAGACTAAGTGAATAGGGAGGGTGGAGCATGGGAGTCGGGTGGTTGTTTGTCAAAAAGTGCTGAACTCTCAATGCGGTGTGGGCAGGTATGCTGGTAAATCACTCGTCATGAAATGGGCAAATGCACTGAAAAAAATCTCCAAAAGAAAATTCACTGTAGCTGTACGCAACCTCTCTCAACAATGCTAGCTAATACGCTGATGCCAATAGGTTCCTAGAACACTTACCTAGTGGGGTAGCCTGTACTACAATGGGCCCTTCCTCCAAAAAGTAATTGTTTGTTTTTTTTTTTTTTTTTTGGTTCCCATCATATAAAACCATACAACTACATTTGTATCAAATATACTTATGTATGTTTGTCTTCATCTTCATCTTCCCCTCTCTGACATTATACAGATAGTTATCTGAATATAGGTATTTTTGGATTTGTTAATATACTTGAAGTTGTTATTTTGTATTCATTATTTCTGTTGTGTGAATATGTATTTTATTAATTTTAAAAGACATTTTAAATAGCTAACTAATTATCATTCACATAGAAGTGTCACCGTTTACTTGATTTTAATGGTATTATTTACAAACATTTTGGTGAGACTCAATTTTTTTCTATAAATAATACCACCATTAACATCTGCATACATAAAAGTTTATCCTAACCTCTGAATGTTTCTTAGATGAAAAAGCAGTGAGTGGGAAGGTAAAACTTTTGTGGCATATGAACTGATTTCTTTCTAGAAAATACATAAAAATTTATAGTATCATCAATATCAAAATTTTTTCTGTGTTAAAACATGTTTTTATTAAGAACATTTTCAAACGTAAGTATAAATAAGTAAATATAAATATAAATCCACAAGTGCTTGTCATTACATTTATATTTCTCCTCATAGTTGTGAGAATTAAATTTTTTTATACTTTAACTTTTTATAAATTTAGCCATGTATATAATATGCATAATTATATATTAATTCCTTTTTTTCTAATCATTGCATCCTTTTTTTTTTCTTTTTTGCAGTTAGGCTGGCTGTACCACATAGTATAAAGTCAACAGGAACAGCCTATTGTACAGTCCTGCCATTTTCTTGATTTTAAAACGAATAACTTTAATAGTTTAGAAGTTTGCTATAAAAATCTAGTAGGTAGACGCCGGTCTCAGGGGCCCAGCCTGTAATCCTGCACTTTGGGAGGCTGAGGTGAGTGGATTGCCTGAGCCGGAGGGTTTGAGATCCGCCTGGGCAACTTGAGACCTCATCTCCACAATAAATAAAAAATCATCCGGGCGTGGTAGCGTGTGCCTGTAGTTCCAGCTTCTTGGAAGGCTGAGGCGGAAGGATCGCCGGAGCCCAGCAGGTCGAGGCTGCGGTGGCCGGGAGCGGCCACTGCACTCCAGTCTGGGCGACAGAGTGAGACTCCAACTCAAAAAAAAATAAAAAAAAAATCTAGTAGGTAGAATAATATGCCTGGCAACTCTTGAAAGGCTGATGACTATTTTGTAAGAAAACCCATAGTGACTCTGGATGATATTCAATTCTCTTAGCCAGAATTTACTTTTCTTTAGGCAGACACTTAAAGTAAGAGAAAATTACCTTCTTCCAAATAAGAATTGAACGATGTAGACTAAGGTTAGTGTTTGTGAATGCTGCCCTACTCTTGTGCTTTTAACATTTATATCATGGCCGCTCATTCTTGGTGGGCCTTGAATTCCATTTTATTTTCTCTTTAGAAGAGCTAACTCTGCCTAGTTCTAAGATAGAACTGTACCTCACAATTGTTTATAAACTGAGCTTAGCATCTTAGTGTCCACTGCCTGCCTGGCTTTCTGCCTCTTGCTGTATATGTCTTAAAAATCAACAAATTCCTAGAGTAGACGAACAGTGATACCTTGCCATTCTTTTTCAAGTGATGTGAGTCTAAAGTCCTCTTGGCCTTAGTTGCCCTGAATGACAATCTGTGTCTCTCCAATCCCACAAGTCTGCCTAGAGATCTCAGCCACGCATCCATTGCAAGATGTCTCAGCCTAGTGCTGCTTGTGAATTAGTCATTTCTCAAGGGAAAAATGGCAGAGAATGTTAGGCTCATTTCAATTCACATTCCTTCTTTTTTAGACTTTGGCCTCTTAAGTGTTAGCTGTATGTTTTTAGTTTCTAATGCCTTAAAAAAACAAATATTAGTATTATGAACTGAAGCTTTATAGTTACTATTGTGGAGACAGTTTGTTTGATACTCTAATTTATTACAGTTAAAAGCAGAGGTCTCTGTTTTAAATTTCAATGTTGTCTTTTTCTCAAACTTCTTTAATTCATTTTTTCAGATTTTTATAATAACTTTTATGTTTTTATCTGACTTGCTTATTTTTTAATGTTATCCATTATTTCTTAACGATTTTACATTTTCTTTTGTATCCTCTAGCTAATATTCCAACATTTAAACACATGGGGGTCTAAGTCTGCTGTTTGTTCCTTCTAATAAATCTCATTCACATTAGTTTGGATTTTTGTGGATTAGGCAAAATTATTTTCAAGTCATAATTTTCTTCACTCTGTGAGACTTTTAGGTACTTAAACTGCAAATACTTTCCTCTAAGGAGTCTGAATCTGTCTCTATCAAGAACCAGGGATACCATCAACACAGAGCCACCTTAGTCCTCTTCAGTGATCTAGGCTTAATGCAGCATACTGATTCCTTGTCCTCAGCTTGTGGTTTGGCCCAAGGCAGATGTTTCAGATCTTATGAGTGTGAACTTCTGTCCCAAGGAAAGGTTAACTTCCTTATTTGTTTGGTTCTTTCCCTGATTTCAGCTAACTGTTCAAGCCCAAAGAAGAAAAAAAAAAATTATGAATTTTAGTTTTGTAATTTGCCAAGGTGTCTTCTATTCTCTAGCAAACAGAAGCATCCTGTTTCTTTTTAGTTTTGAATTTTTCTCCAAAATTATTTTAATTGTTTTTATGACCCATGATTTTTAGAAGGTAGGTATTTTATAATACCCTGTAGTTTTTATAACATTTTACATATTTGAAAAGTAGACTCACTGACATTCTCATAGTAATTAATTTTGGAGTACTCACAAATTTAGTAGTGCTATCTTCAGAGATAACTTCTATATCTCTAAAATGGAAATAATAATCCTATCTCAAAATATTAAAATATATTATGTATTAAGTTATTACAATGTGAATAAACATTCATTAACAATTTGATCAAATTTCATACAGTCTCCTAATGGTGAGTGTAACTCAAAATCTGCAGCTTAAACAGAAATTGATACATGTCTTGGATCTGAGAGATCATTAGCAAATATTCAGAACTAGGAGTACAAATTCCTGAATACTTATTTGTTCTACAGTCATAGATTGAT